CCGAAGGCAAATTTTGGGTGATGAGCCAGACAAGCGCGAGCGGCTGAATCGAACGTTTGAAAATAGTGTGTGAACAACGTGACAAAACAGGTGATAAAAGTAAGTAATTAACATTTAAACTTGTCGGGGGTAGAAGTCAAAACCGACCGTGATAAAAACCTTAACAAAAAGAACAAGCCGGGCTGCACCCGAGTGCATCTCCGGTCACATTGCGACCCGTATCTTCGTCTTATGTAGATAGGTCTTTATATAGAACGGTCTTAAGAGCATTGCACGTGACAAAAGTTTAGTCGTAATCGCAAGGTCGTAAGTAAATCAACCAATTACAGGCCAATATTCTAGCTAATACTGGTCTGTAGTTGGTTAAATTGTTTACGACTTTACGGTTACGATTAAAACTTTTTCATGTGCAAGAGTATCAATCCACCATCATCTTATCTTTTGCTACCTGTTGCCGCGTGGTTGCCGCCGTGTGANACGTATTTTGACTCCGTGCGCCAGTAATTTGCTGTGTCTTGTTTATTCTGGATGGATTAGCTTTCGGGATGGCTCTGTTGAAGGTAATTATTCATAAAATATTTAATATTTTTGTTTAGATCTTTATGATCGGTGTTAGAATCGCACTGTAATGTATCTTATTGTGAAGTACACTGATTTATTAGTATATTTATTGCCATACCATAGATAAGGGNTATCTTCCTTTTTAACTTTTGAAGATCTGGAGAGCCTCAATATTGTTAACCTCAATTTTTGTGTGGCCATTTGATGATATGCTTGTGATTTGCATTGAAAATTGATTCGAAACTGGATACACGCTACCTCAGTTAAAGAGATCAATAGGCGTCTTTGAAATGAAGAAGTCAGGCAGGCCATTTTAGCTGTTGATGCTGAAGAACATGCAGAGAATGAGAGAGTTGATGTTAAACTTGAGCAAGCAGTGGATGATGTGGTTCACGCCAACAATGATAAAAACATTAATGACAAACAGAAAGACTATGATCAGAATTATGTGATCATGGTGGTATGTTTTTTGTACTATGAGCAGCTAAGGCTTTACATGAGAAATGAATTCTTTTGTTGAATTCTACGTACTGTTGTTATTATTTATAGCATTTCCATCACAAGCAAGCAGTTCTAAAGCTTCAAAGAAATTGCATGATAACCCTGGTGTTCATGAATCAGTAAAAGAGATAGTATGTGAAAGTCAGTCATGTCAGTTCATGCCCGAGCAGAAGACATCTGATTCTTTAAAAGACACAGAAACGACTAGCAGTAAGTTCAAATCATCTCTGAATATTTTTATGAATAATATGATTTAGAAGTATGTTAATGTGTTTATCTTTGACAGAAAGTCTTGTAAACCAAATGCATCTTAATCTCCTTTAAGAGCTTCATAGAAAAGTGGATTGGCTTAGTATCAATATGAGCCGAATATTAGACGAGCTTTTCCCTGATGAGTCTAGGTTTGACCGTCCACAAGGATTTCCTTCTTTACCTTTAAACACAGAGAATGATTTGGCAGAATTTGAATCTTATTTAAAGAATGAACCAATTTTCAATAATATGGTGAATCTTACTTATTCTGTTGTTCTCTATTATTGTTTCTCTGACATAAAACATTTTTAAATTATTTGTTATACATTTCAGATAAAGTATCTTGGAAAAAAGGGAAAGGGCGAGCCTCATCTTTTACGTACTCCATTCTGGCCGTCCTCATCTTNAACCAACTTGCTCGCATAATAAGCTGGAAGGGCACAGGTGGAGTCAAGCTTAGCTTTGAAAAATCAACAACTAAGAAACTGGTAGAATGTATACGTACGTATAAAAGTACAACTATTATTATTTGTTTTTAAGATTTTGTATTATTTACTTATTTTTTCTAAAAGACTTCATCAACTGACTTGAACTATGTTTTTACTTTTAAGATGTATGCTTAAAGAAGTTTGGTTAGCTGCTAGTTTATGTTTTTGAAGATAAGATGAAAAGATGGTTTAACATCTCAATGCAACGTTCTTAAAATTTTGATTTTAAATGTGATTTTTTGTGTAAAGCTGTGGTTTTTTGTTTGAATTTTTTTAGTGCTTCAAGTTATTAATGCTTTTAAAGCATGAATAACTTCAAGATAAAAAGGCTATGTATTAAAATTTTAAGTTTTAATTAATGTAAAATTTTAAGACTTATACACATGCTTGTGTTAAGTTGATCTCTAAAATCAACTTTACACAATTGTGTACTTTACACAAATTAGCGCCTTTATATGACATTGTTCTGCATTATTCTTTCATATTTGCTTGTATTCTACATATGTTTAGTACTTCTCTGTTCTAAGGACAATTCATTTCATAGAGCTAAAAATAATCTTTGACTTTGTTTTTATTTTTTGATTATGTGCAATTTATGTGTTCTGTTTTCAACAACTGTAGTGTCATGAGAAACAAACTGATCCAAAGTGATAGTATTAATAACTATTAATAAAGTGAGAAGGTTGTGTAACGTTATCATGATCTCTCTTAGCTTTTTACGTTAAGTTTTGGTAACAAAAAAGTTTCAGTTTTATTAAGATAATGTTAAAAATATACCTTACACATATGCGTCTATATAATTGTTCGTTACATGTTTCATTTGTTGCCTTTGTTCTAATTAGCTTGAAGTTATAAAANATTAATGTCAGATGTAAATTACATCACACATGTTATTTATATTTATGTACCTTTATTTTGATACTAATGTTTTAATAAACAGACTCTTGAATAACATTTATCCTTTTATTTTAGAAAAAAGAAATATAAATGAGGAGACATGTTTGACTTGCTTTTTTTAAAGTGTGTGGTCGTACTTACACCATTTACTTTATGTAAAATAGTCGTAAGGGTTGCTTTATAATAATTATAATCGTTAACTTATGCCGGAACCGGTAAAGTTTAAATATGAGATTTCAATGCTTTTTTGCAGTGCACAAAAAGCTTATAAAGCAACCCTTACAGTTGTTTCACTATAAAGTAAATGGTGTAAGTGCGATATGACTGCATGCTTTAACCAGCCCGGATGTTTTCTAGTGACCAAAAAATGACGTCAACATTTCGTCATATTTTTTACCAGTTTGACGTCATTTTGACTTTGGTCGTTTTGACGTCGTTTTGACGTCATTTTGACGTTTTCGTGACTTTTTGTTCTTCTTGGGTACGAAAAAATTACTGGCATTCTGTGTAATTGCCAGTAATATTCTCAGTGATTCCTGTAATACCTAATAATATTCTTATGTGATTGTCAGTAACATTTATATTACTGACTTTATGTATATGTAATCGGCAGTAGTACTTTTTCGTAAGGGTATTTACTGTCTTTTTTATCTTTTATTTACTACAACTGTTAACATTATATTAATTTATGTGCCCTATTGTAAAATTTATTGTATTTTTTTTTTTTTAACTTACAAACAAATATGTTGATTTTATAACACAAATATATAAATATTTTTATAAAATATATATATATATAACATTTATTTTAACTGTTAACTGTTTTATAATTAACATTATAACAGAATAGCTTTTATTCTTTTTATATTAATTATTTTTATTCTTTTTATATTAATTATTTGCTGACGATTGCCAAATCACTTGTAATCCAAATTGCTGCGTAAGATAATTTGAAATCTATCAACCATCTGAAAGGTTAAGCAGTATTGAGCATGCGCACATTCGTAGCCAATACAAATTAGGCATAACTGCCCCCCGCATTTCGGCTTCACTCCCCTCGCCTATATTCTAGGTCTGTGCTCCGTCCCTATATTCCTATGTCCATATATTAAGAGTCGTCTACAATGGAGAGTTGTAGGCCGTAANAGTAAGAAATTGACAAATCACAATCGATTATTCTTCTGTACTTTCCTGTGATTGGTCAATTTCTTACTATTACGGCCTACAACTCTCCATTGTAGACGGCTCTTTATGGTTCAGGGTTCAGTGGTAGTAAGGCTGTAGAAGTAGAGAGTAAACTATTTTTCGGTAAAGAAACAACGGGAATTACGAAATGGGCAATTCCCATTTCGCACTGCCTCCTGCCTTACTGTTAGCCAATGAAAGACGTGTGTTAAAAAACGCGAAATAATTACTTGTATAAACAAAACTAAAATAACTCCAAGAACTTTACTTCTTACTCTATACTGCCTACTTCTACTGTAGACGACCCTTTAAAGGGTCGTCTACAATGGAGAGTTGTAGGCCGTAACAGTAAGAAACTGACAAATCACAATCGATTATTCTTCTGTACTTTGGCTGTGATTGGTCAATTTCTTACTATTACGGCCTACAACTCTCCATTGTAGACGACCCTTTAAGTGACACTAATTTTTAATATTAGTTTTTTATTTTGCATTAATAGCAATTATTTTGTAGGATAGTTTTTGTGTAGAGTTTGTTTCTGTTTATTTTATCATATTTTTTGTGGTTATTTTTCTTAATGACAGTACAATTAACACAATTTATATTTAGTTAAATTTATGAAATATATTGTTAATAATAACAATTTTACTATTCACTAATTCCTATATACTTTCTATTGTGTTTTATGATGTTTTATATTTTAAAATAATGCAGCAATGTACACAATTTATTTGGTATTACTTTTCAATATTCTGTGTTTGTAGAGTTTTTTTAGCGATATGTAGTAATACTATTTCATATATATATATGTAAAGACATAGTTATTAGAAAATAAAAGTTTAGACTTGGAAAATTTGTTTTTTTATTTAAAAACATATATGAGTAGCACATATACTTAGCACTTAAAAAATTTTTTGTTTGAGTAATAAGATATAATGAGTGAGTTCTACTTGCCATTTGCAACGCTCATGGAATCATTTCATCCTTGTTTTTTTATCAAAAGTTAAACAAAGATAGGGTAACGCTCACGAGCTTTGCGACAGGCAAGTGGAACTTACCCAATGTAGATGTTGATAGATTATTATAAAAATTAGAGTACTTAATTATATGTATATATTTTATATTTATTGTATTTTTTAGTTTAGAAATAGCATTGTATCTCTACATAACTAAAGCTTATAAGTTAAAAAAGTCTTTATATATTTAAGTTTTCTTGCAATACAGATTTTATACTACAAATATATGTGCATATGTATATCAACTATTTGTTTGTTGTACATATATATTATGTTATAGTAGTAGATGGGTCATTAATATCTCATTTATTAATGTCATTTTTAAAGTATGTTTGTGTTTTTATATTTAATGAAGGAAAATTAAATCGTAGAGGAAAAAAAAGAAAAAAAACACTATAATTTGAGAAAAATTATCCATTCATACATGAGTTATATACAAGTTGAGGTGTATTTATATGCATTCTCTATGAGTAATAAACCACACATTTAATTCATATATATTTGTAAAGATGTAATGTATGAGAGTTTTTAGAGTTTATTATCACTTTTGAGTCAATAATTAAGTGTAGGGTAATACTTTATCATACAGAATAAAAGATTTATATGACTACATTTATATATCGAAATTCTATTGCTCTGAATATTTTCTCTGTGTAAAAAGTATGTGTACATGTATATATGTATACACTAGTAAGTAAATATAGTACATACTACATACTATATTCACACATTTTTTATAATATCAGTTTTTGTTTTAATATTCACATAGAATTTCTCTTCTTATCATTCAGAGCTTTTTTGACAATTTTCCAATTGAATTAAACACAAAAGTTTATTAATTTCATACAATACTATTATTTCAAGGAGATTGTTCTTGTCCATTATTTTCTTGAGACTTCATAACATCTGGAAGATCGGGTGGTAGTGAAAACGGTGTCATTTCTAATGGTTCAAATTGGCCATCTGGTTGGCGCAGAGCTAAACCCACTAATGCAGGATTTTGAGCTTTTGCAGTTAATGATGTCAATCCATAATCTTGTAAAGTCTTGTTGTCACACATTTGAAGATTATCTTTGTTAAATAATTGCTGATTTGATGGTGATACTTTCAAAATACCTACAAATTACTTTCAGTATTAAATAATTTCAAAGGTTTTGCACTTATTATTTTCTATAAATATTGAATCTACAAATGTATAAGTTAAAATGTTTAACAGCTTACAAAGAAAATAAAAGTTGTTACTACTACTACTATTACTACTATATACATATACACATACACAAATCCTTATTCTTAATAATCTTTGTAAATAACAGATAGTTCACTTAATTGTATTGTATTATTTACAATTATATTTCTTTTCTTGATATAATTTGTATATATATATATTGTTGACTATTAATTAAAGACCATCAATTACTTAAATTAATTATTTACAGAATACGAATTATTTAAATGACAAATAAAAATTTAGAAAGTTGGATACGTATGAAATATGTAAACCATCTGTCCTTATACAAAGAGTTACACAATTTTGTGGAATGGTCAGTGTAAAATTACCTTCAATCATTTTTTTGAGTTCTAAGACGGTAGTATCATCTTTCGCATCAGTAAATATCGTCATTTTTTTTCGCCTAATCATTAAAAATACATCCTGTAAATAAAATCGTCAAAAACTTTTTGGTTAACAAATGCTTTTCAGCGGAATGAAATATCAAGCAGAAAAAATATTACCATTGTGAGTTTAAATGTAAACGTAAAAATAACGCTAAGATTATAGAATTTACACTATTTCTTTTTTGACAAAAATATGAGATTTTCTTATTTACAATTCCACTTTTATGTTTACCATAGAAGATAGGACTACACACCAGGGCAACCAAACTGCGTGTACCAGCGTTAGTAGCGCCTCCTAACATAATACCGTCTGGCATGTAAACTAAATACGAAGTAAATACGTGTGAACTGTGTGAACATAGGTCTGTTCTTTTAACCTAACCTAAATTGGCTGCACTCATGGAGATAAAGGAGGGAGCATTAAGGGATATTATAGGCATATATGTAATACTCCTATATTGCTAGTCGCGTATCTTCGCAATGAGAGGCACGAGGCCCGAGAAAGGGAGACGCACGAAGTCCAAATATGGGCATAGATGGTCGAGTGTCATTATGCGCAGGCGCATCTACCAAGTGAGTGC